TATATATATATATATATATATATATATATATATATATACATCTAAATAAAACTGTGAAAAATAAAAGGCTGTCAAATCACCTAATTTAACAGTGAAGTTCCTTAAAAACTGTAGGACACGTATGTGATCTGTTATGGATTTTAGTTTTTTTTATTGTCATGTTTATTTAGTTATTTTTTGTGTGTTTATTTAACCAGGAGGCCTCATTCAGATCTCTATTATATAGAGCTGGTAGCATTTGGAACTTTAGTATATAAAGCAGTAATGCACAAAATCAATAATGACAAGGCTTTTCAAACACAGCGACCCCTCTTAAAGAATATAGTTATGTCAAAAATTCAATCAGCTTTGAATGTTTTAGATTTGATAAATAAAATAAAATAAGAGTATAAAATAAATAACATTTTTGTTGGACATTCCTTTGCATCCTGAACTATGTTACTGATACGGATTGGGGATCGACTAAATAGTTCATAGGTGTCTACAATAAGGCAAGTTAGACAGGATTTGAATACAATAAAACCTGTGATACCTGTTTGTAGTCAATAATCAATGATTATATATTAAAAACATAATGAAGTAATTAATAAAAAAATATTTAAGAGGAGTTCTAGGAAAAACACTTGCTGGTTTACTTCACAGTTAGTCTCACTGAGTATGTTTATTCTATAGTTTTACAGTACATGTTTTTAATGGGGGTGGGGGGGGTGTTATAGATATGCCCTGCCACACAGTTATAAATTTCTAGACCTTTGTATAAATGGGTATATGGGTATATATCTGGCAGTGAAAAATAGAGATGCACTGGTGCATTTTTTTCAGTTCCAATCAGATACCGATATCTGGGCGGATTGTATCAGGCGATACCGATCCAATTAAACTGTTAAATGAATGAACCATATATCTTGCCGCCTGAGCTTGATATAAAAATGATTAAAAAAGATAAAAAAGTAACACAGATATAAATGTACAGCATTTTCCGCACTATAGAGCACACGTCAGTATGAGCTGCACCACAAAGTTTTTTTTGTTTTTTTAAAGTGGAAACGTACATATATACAGTAAGCGCACCGGGATTTAAAGCGCTGATGTCTACTGAACTGTCCGCCACTGTAAGAGTTTCTAATGAGAGATGAGGCTTAGTCAGCTTTTTATTTCAGCTCTTCAGGTGTTGCACACAGTCTCTTAATTGGTTAAATAATGTCAATGTGTGAATTTGGGATATTTGCTCTCCACAGTGCCTGCTGCTTGCATATTTGTGCTAAATAAAATTAGCCTCTTCTTTCGTTTCCAATTTTGGCTTCCAACCCTCCCCTCCGGGTTCAACCCTCCACCTGAATTGAACCTGAATTGACCTTGTATTCTTTTAGTTACAGTAAAAGAAAATCTCCAGGTTTCAACCCTGCAGACTTTTGATACTGGGCAGCCACCTCTTATGGAGACCAATAGTATCTTATTTTTCATTACAAGATAAAAGTCTGATTGAATTTTTGCAGGGCAGAGCTCAGTGCGTGAACCAGTGGTCCAGACCTATTTCCCAGCAGCCAAGCAGGTCAGGTAGCCTTAATGCATCACCAGACACCAACTCAGCAGATAAGGCAGTGACGGGAGTGGAAAGGTAAAAGGACAGTACTCTCAGAACCAGAACCCAGCACCTTCTTGCTGTCCCAAATAAATCCTTTTTTAATTTTTTTTTAGAAATCCAATACACCTGTGATGGCTTTTATATTTGCATAAACTAGGAAATAAAGCAAAACAGAATACCTGAGTGAAGTTGGCCCCACCACCTTCTTCAAATCAGACAAAATTAGTGTCAAACGTTTGTGCAACGTTTGTGCAGCAAAATTTTTTGTTTGTGCGGCTATCATTTTAAAGATATTAAGAAATATTTCAAGAGATCATCAAAGGTCAACCAGCCCCCCCACCTTCTTCAAATCAGATGAAATGGGTGTCAATCGTTTGTGCTACGTTTGTGCTGGTTTGTGCAGCAAAAATTTTCGTTTGTGCCACTACCATTTTAAAGATATAAAGAGATGTTTCTAGAGGGGGCTGGTTGGCCTTTGATGACTTCTAATTTGAAGAAGGTGGGGGGGCTGGTTGACCTTTTGACCTTTACATTTTCATTAATATCTTCAAAGCCAAAGCAGTACAAATGAAATTTTTTGCTGCACAAACCAGCACAAACGGAGCTTAGTTAATTGACACCCATTTCGTCTGATTTGAAGAAGGTGGGGGGGCTGGTTGACCTTTGATGACCTCTAGAAATATTTCTTTATATCTTTAAAATGATAGCGGCACAAACGAAAAAAATTTCTGCACAAACGTAGAACAAACGTTTGACATTAATTTTGTCTGATTTGAAGAAGGTGGGGGGGGCAACTTCACTCAGGTAAACTGAATTCTTGTGACAGAGCAGATGTCCTTAGCAGACTGGATTATTTCTTTACTAAACTCTAACCTATACAGTTATTTTCTAACTTTTGTACCTTTTTTGGCCTTAGGTGTCCTTCCATGTTGCTCTCTGATAAACATGGTATCACCATCACCTCCGACTATCCTTTTGAGAACGGCAAACTTGTCCTGTGTGTGAAAAACACATATGAGGTACGATTGCTGCCCTTCTCTGTCTGGAATCATTTGGCATTTTACATATCTAAACCCTTTTATTTATATTATATTTTTTCAGTATACAGTCAAGCTGAATGTGGAAAACACAGGAGATCAGCCTTTGTATTTTACTTACTACACACCACTGCACTGGCTTAGGTGCTTAACTCTACGTGATGAAAAAAGGGTGACCAGACTGCAACCCCTACTTCTAAATCCAGGTAATGCAATAACAGAAAAAAACAAAAACGAATTCATCTTTATTTTAGCAAAACTGTATAAAATTAGTATTAATGGTGTAATAAATCAGATTTCCTGTTTTGTTCTTTTCTCAGGTGACAGCTATGAAGTCGAGGTCAGTTTCCAATGTAGTCTGGTTGGGTTTTTTCCAGCTACACTGGCATTTGAATTCAAACCAGACTTGGAGCCAACCACTGCTGCCTTCCATATTGTGCGGATCATCGAGGCTATGTGCATAACGGAATTAGGAGTGGAGCTGTTGCCTGAAGCGCCCTTCAAGCCTCGCTCCCTCCGTCCCTCGATCCCCGAAAATTATTGCAAGATTGTGGATGGGCAGCGACCTGAGGGGTACGTTCTTTCACTCAAGGCACTCTCTATAAAAATAGTGGCTCCCACACCATACAGGTGTGTCTGTCAGGGGGATGTTTCAGGCTGACTTTTAAAAACACTACCTGTCCATCATTGCCTTTCCTAAAAAACAAAACTTCTGTTGCACCGAGAGATTGTTAGATCTTGAATTGCCACAATCTAAACCAGAGCATATTCCACCCAACATCATATACCAGCAGGTCAATAAGATCACCAAACACACACACCCTGCGCATTCCTCCACAGGTGATGGCCTCCAGCAGTACGTAGGCTGCCCTCCTTGCACAGTGAGACACACCTTAACTCAGTTATTTATGGATATGAGATTATCGACACCTTGTCCACCTGATTAGTCATCACCTCTAACTTGTATGGAATTAATATCCTATTTTGTTATCTTTTGTTCTGTTAAAGTGTCCATTGGAGGATAAACATGGGTTTTATGCTCCTTGGTGCACAGACAGAGGCCCTTCTACTTGACCTAAACATATATTTACAGTTTAAACAGTGGGAGGGAATCAACTCTATCACTGAATTGTAGGTTTTTGAAAGTTGAAATCTGAGTCCACTCCCTCTGTTTAAGGTTGTTTTTTTCTTTCGTGGACTCAGAATTCACCTTTCGAAAACCTAAATTTCAGCAATAGAGTTTATTTCTTCCCGCTATCAATGCAACTTCCACCCCCTTACAAGGGAACAGCACACCGCGCCTGTTCAGCCAGGCCAGCAATTCCCTCTAATGACCCCCCTTTCAGAGACATAGGGCCGGATTTATCAAGATCCAATTTTGCGTGCAGTAATTTGCGCTCGCAAACTGGAATTTTGCGCGAGGG